GCAATAGAGGCCAGTTTATGACCTCCTCCAAATCAAAATACAGTGGTACCTCGGGATACGAACGCCTCTACTAGCGAACATTTCGGGTTACGACCAGCTTCGGCAGGAAAATTGTACCTCGGGATACGAACGCCTCTACTAGCGAACATTTCGGGTTACGACCAGCTTTGGCAGAAAAAATTTACCTCGGGTTACGAACTTGCCTCTACTTACGAACCGGATCCGCAGCCATTTTCCCTGCTGCTACGCGGTCGCGGCTTCCTGTGGGAGAGGTCGCGGTAGCAAGGAGGCGTTCGGTGAGGCTTGTGGTGTGTTTTGCGGTGTTTTGCGAAGGTTTTTGGTGTGCGTGTTAGCATGGCTCCAAAGAAAATGCAGAGCAGGCTTGGCGGGAGTAAGGCTCTGAAGAGAAAATTGCCTCGGGTTGCGACCAAATTCGGAGGGCGGAACGGATTAACCGTATTTACATTGAACCTTATGGGAAACTTTACCTCGACTTGAGACCAACTCGAGTTGCAACCAGAGTTACGGAACGGATTAAGTTTGTATCCCACGGTACCACTGTATACATAATGTCCGAACATAATGGCTTGACACTGGTTGTTATAGCTGGATGCAATGACAGGCCTATTGGCCATACACATAACCAATTCTCTTTCAGTCAGCTGCCATATTGCGTGGTGGTCATCACATTGTGAATTCTTTAGTCAACAATGTGTCAGTATTGGAGCCAGGAGTTGGCTAGCTTCAGAAAAGACCTTTCAGAAACCCCAGATTATTGTGGGAGAGCAAATGGGCAAGGAAAGAACCTCTGTGATTTCCGAAAACACTCATTGGGTTAATAGTTGACAGATTATTATGCCACTATCATGCCAAGTTAACTTGGTCCCATTTGTCTTTTCTACTCGCGATGACATGGATTCCACATTCCATAGGCAGGCTCAGTCTAGATTAATGTTATCATACAGCCATTCAGAGATGGGTATCTCACCCTCGCAGCTGCTTTTCTGAGTATAATCCAAACCTCCACTGCCTCAATAATGAAATGAAAACAAATTACCCCAACAGAGAAGTGTTCAGCCAGGCAGTAAACTACTACCAACCCATTCTATGTTCTTCCCAACAGCACAAATCCCTCTTTTTTTCATTTTTTTAAAACAAAGGAGGCTTCCTTTCTATGTCTGGAGTTACCCAATATGCTGACTATGGGCATCCTCTACCACTCTTGGGTTGTTGTTGTTGTTGTTGAATTAAAAAGGAAACTAATCGGAATGCTGATGGTCAGCAAAACGGAATGCTGGCCTTCAAAACCTCCTTTAATTCCAAGAGTACCTTTGGACACTCCATGGATCAAGAAACATTTTTATAAATAGAAATATTGTATACCTATAGCACCAGTATACTGTTTGGAAATGTGACAGAAAAAAGATAAAGTAAGCTATGGGAAATGGTAGGAAGGACAGTGGGGCCAGAGAGGATAGGAAGGAGATAGAGTGCATTGGCTGTGCTCCATGTATTTGTAGGGTTTATCCTTTTTTGTCTTTTTGTGTGCATTTTGGTGAAGCATGTGCTTTCTCTGTGCATCGGGTGTCTCTGAATAACACTTGGTTACTTTCTCTGAACAGGAACAGAAAAGTGTGGAGTCTCACTTGTACAAAGATGCCCAGGTAAATCACTACAGCCTCTTCCAGGATATGGCTATTTTATTATTTGGTTATGCTTAAAAAGGCAGCTATTATGTGAATTCGCAACTCCCTTCTCCACTGAGGACATTTTGTCAGCAATCCACAATAAATTCTCAAAATTCCTGCTGCTCCAAAAGTGTTGGGGACTTCTGATTACTCAGAAATGTAGGCTCAAGGTCAAATTAATATATATGATTACTTTTCCCCAGAACATAATAATTTTATGACATCATAAAAACATATTCTTTAATTAAATCTTATTCTCACTGAATTTCCAACAATATGATCATTTACTCATCCTTTTCCTATACAAATGCGATGGAATCCAATAAGATCACTGTGTGAAATAAATGGCCATGTAAGTTCTTGAAATAAATAAATAAGCCCAAAGTATTAGTTTTCATTGAATAAGCCATAATCTAAGATCTACTGAAATTTTTGATACTTCAAAACATTAAATTATACAAATGGAGCTCCAATCCTAAATTTATGTACCTCTGAGTAAAGCTGTTTAAATTATTTAAATTGTTCAAAATCATTAGTCTCCCATGACTGAGGTATTCAGGGAAGGGAAAAGAATGATGGGATACAATGGAATGGATATGTAGACATTTTCTGGTTTTTCTCTGCAATCAGTCAAATGAACTAGAATCTTTTTGGAGAATATAACAAAGTAAGAAACCTCCCCAGTGAGATATGCTGTACCACTGTTTGTTTGTTTTTTAATGTGCCAGGGGCAAGTGAGACAATGGCTTGTCATGTCTATTCACAGTCATTAATGGAAACAGAAAGTTGACTTATGAATGTACAGTAGATGGAGAAAGCCAAGATTCCCACAGTGAACTTTCTGTGCTAGCTTCACACCTGCTGAAAAAAAGGAAAACGTGTAAGTCCCTCACCACTCCTAGTTACCTGCAAGAAAGAAAGATCCTGGTTTTGTCCAATGAGCACTATCTCAAGGTTACCCATGACGATCTCACAGTTGTTGTACATTTTATACAGTGTCTGATACCGTTGCTGGGCATCTCCTGTCACGCTGAGCTCGTTTTGGGTGCCTGCACAGACTGCAAGGAAAAAAAGAAAGGAAATGCATAAATCATTCATGAAGCCCACTAGCCATCGTTCAGTCATCATTCTATAATAGTCTCTATCATAAAAAGCAGAGTCATCCACATATCACCACTTTCTGTTTTGATCAACCATGTCCACTAGAGCATGGCACAATTAAATATCAGGAATGGACCAGATAAGGTGCTCCAGGACGATCAAAGTTCTTACAGGGCACTTCGTTCCAAACACTTCTATCAAATTAATCAAACTATCAGTCTTGATGAGTATATATTTACCCTGTACCAGTCTTAGGTCAGTTTCACTGTCATGGGCTCCATCTAAAAACACATGAATTAGTTTTTTATGATGGTGCTAAGATATTGTTGCTACCTCTTCCAGGATTACTATTTGAAGAATTCTTCAGGGACAAGGACAGATGATTAAACATTGAAGTCAGTTTTATAAAGGGGTTACTAGACAAAGGTGCTGTCCCAGTTTTGAGATGGAATAAGCTCCCTGATGATCTAATGGCATCATGACCAAGGGCAACTGCAATTGAGCAAAATCTCATTATGTCCCTATAGTTTCTATGGATGGGGAGCTTCAATTTCAAGGCAATTTCATTTCAAGTCATGGGGAAAAAAGATAGCAGACAGTTCAAACTGGTTTAATTAACTCCAGTCAATTTTGCCCCTGTTCACTTTGCCTGGGCTACTTTAACTGGCAGGAGGAGCTGTAAGGAATGCAAGACTGGGAATAAATCTACAGCCAAAATAGCCTGGATCAATCTCAGGTACATTTTGTACGGGAACCAAAAAGCTGGGAAATAGAGAAGCTGTTGTCCTTAAATATTCCCCATGGACTCTAATGTAATGCTTCCAGGGCAGAGGAACAGAGATACACATAACAAAGGTATGTAAGAAACAGAACCATAATCCATAATGGGGTTTTCCTAAAACAGGTTGCCGCTAATCCAAACTGGTAAAAAGGATCAGAAGATGTGGCAAAATCCAGTGAGGGCAATGCCAAACAACTATGTTTGATGGCATCCCCTGCCAAATTCAGTTTTTGCTTCCTTCTTGGAACTATTATCAATACAGATAGACATCTACCTGTGAATTCCTCAGAAGGATAGTAATGATGGCTAATATCCAAAGAGAAATTTCAGGTGTGTGTCCTACAAACTAGAACATTTTACATTCCCCATTATTATTGCTGTTGTTCTTCCTCCTCCTCCTCCTCCTCCTCCTTTCTCCTTTTGCCATTTACAAGCTATTATTAATTCTTCCCTCTCCCTAGCTTCTGAACATGTTTATCCTGAGGAGTAGGAAAGTCACATCCAAACAGAAGAAGCTCAATGTTTCTTAGGAAGACCAAAAAGTTTTACTTTCAGTTTTACAGTGTATGAAGATCCATCACCAAGCCTCAAGAAAGATTGTCACCCCGGACTGTGGAGTATAGATCTATAATTCACTTTTACAATAAGACCTCTGAGTCAAAATATGAATGCTAACTAGGAATGCTGAAAACTGCCATCTTAACCTATCTGGAGGTTGCGAGCTGCTCTACTGGAAGCAGTGCTACCAAGCAGCTTAGAAAAGGGTATAAAATAGTCACTGTGGTGCCCTGCTTCCTAGTTCTGACCAAATTCACCCGGTCCTAGCTGGCACACTGCCAAACAGATGAATGAAAACCACGAGCATCTGCACACCCAGTGCCCTCTCCCAGAAGGTAAATAAACAGTCACATTCTCCCCCACAGCTTAAGTAGTACAAATTAACCACGCTGGAGGAGGAAGAGTGTGATAAGGCTGAAACCATGAGGAACTAGGATGCTTGATGACATCAGGATCAACCCCCTTTGGATCTAGTTACCTGAAAACACAAAATCCACTTTGAGATTTACAGTAACAGGAAGTGGTATATAAAAATATTAATTGAATAAACAAGCAAGCAAGCATAACTGACTACTCTTCCTGTATCTACCACAGAGATCAGATCAGAACAGTAGACTGGAAAAGTAAGCCCTGAAAAAGTAAAAAGGACTATCTGCTGGATCCATATAGGCCATAAGCTAGAATTTCTATTAATCTTGCTTTTTAAAGAAGCCACATTTGGCTGGTTTCACTTACTAAGTAATAAACTATGCTTTCAAACCATAATGGCCACAGTTGTGCACTACAGCAAGTCAAAACCAAACAAAGCACTAGATATATAAACCCAGCCACTCACCATGAGAGTGAAGATAAGATGCACACTCTTTGGGTGAATGGTACTCATATACCTGACTCTATAGCTTATCAGATGAAAATGTTTCCAAAGGGTGGCATTCTTACTCTGCCGCCATAAATATAAGAGCTTGTGTTGCAGAACACACTAAGCCACAGTTGGCTGAATTAACCAAAATGGGTGAGGCTCACACAATACACTAAGCCACAAACAAGCACACACCATCAGTGCAGGGATCTCCAATTTGTCAGTGAGCACAGTTCGGAGTTTGAGAGCATGCTACAGGCACTCACACAAAAAAGTTGCCACCATGGAACTTTCACTCATAAAATGCCCATGAACAAGAAGGCAAAGAGAATAGGCTGCTCCTGGCCACCTCCTCCCCAGCGGCTTCCAATACCCCACCTTGCTTTTATCTTTTTCCAGACAAGTAGGCACACTTTCAAATAAAGCACTGGGCTACAGCCTTCCGCCACTTTAATCTTCTGAGCATCTACTGGGAGGATCACAAAAGTCAAGGTGGCAGCCACAGCAGCATGATCACAGCCTTCCCCCTGTCATATGTGTTTTGGCGTGGTGTGTACCTACAAAGGGACGGGCCTTTGACTGCACTGCAGCAACTGCCATCTTGACTTTTTTGACGACCCTCCCCCAGATGTTTCTGGCAGAAGGTTTGTGGGGCTCAAAGACATCCTTGTAAATGAAAATTTTAAAGCTTGATTCTTTACACCTGTGTACCTTTTTTAATTAAAAGAATCTATAAAAAACACTGGAGTCAGGTGGAATATTGTGACTAAGCTTCAAAAGCTGTTTCAATATTGATTAAATTGTACATGGGTGGAGTTTTACTGTTTTGAATCACATTTATCAGTAAAGGGGAAAGAGGTGCCAATCTAGATGAACAAATACAAAAATGGAGCAGGGGAGTAATGAGTGAAGATTCTGGACTGGATTATTTTGCCTTGAAAACAGAGGTATAATCTTCAGTATTTGGCATTTGCACTCCACACTTTGGTCACAGACCATAGGTTAAGGGAGCTTTGACCCACTGGTTGTTTTCCATGAGTGCATTGATTCAGAGTTAATATATAACAAAGAAGGAAACTCTATCCAGCCTTTAAATGCATACCTCACGTCCTATTTCTTATGCACAAGCACTATAGATTCTTGAATCAAGACCTGCATATAAACACAGTATGAATAACAAGAGGGTGGGGCGCCCATCTTCTTTAATTCACTAGATTGGATTAAACCACGTCAACTGGAGTTTATTAGAACACCTCCAAAGATCCTCAGTAGTACACCTCACTTTAATGAACTAATGGGGGGAAAGGGGGACACATTTTTTCCCAATGTCTGGTGAACTGAACTGTAAATAAATGATGCAAATTCCATCATTTGTATGTATTTGCACATTTGTGTAATGACGTCACGATGCAAATTGTCACAAACGATGCAATTTGCATCAATCCTGTGTCATTTCCATTATGATATCATTACACAAATGATGTGAGTTGCAACACAATTTGGTCTGTTGCACACAAAGTTTCACAGGAGGTCAGCAAAGACTTCACGGTCACAGCAGAAACAAAAGCCTTTTCTGTTACCCAAATTAAATCTAGAAATCTTGGCGGAAGGAAAGAGGATAGATTTCTCTTGAACAGAATTGTTCTGGGATTGAAACGAATCCCCAGGCTGGGCACATGCCCAGGGGTACACCTTGCTGGCCATTATTTTGCGTTTGTCTTTAGTCAGTAGAATAATCTCTGCAGTAATTTGTATCCCTGGATGCTGTGATGTGTCTATACCTACAAAGATCAGGATCATGCAAGTCATGGTACTCCCTGTGACGCTCTATGGAAGCAAAAGCTGGGCTTTAAAGAAGCAGGATAAGAAGAGTATTGACATCTTTGAACTTTGGTGTTGGAGAAGACTCCTGAGAATACCGTGGACAGCCAAGAAAACAAACCAATGGATCATCAAACAAATCAACCCAGAATTCTCACTCGAGGCACAAATCACCTGGCTCAAATTATCCTACTTTTGCACACATTATGCAAAGACCCAGGTCTCTGAAAAAGGCTCTAATGCTGGAAAATGTGGAAGGAAAGAGAAGAGGACAACCAGCAGCAAGATGAATGGACTTTGTTACTGTGGTGATGAGTGCACCATTGGGAAACCAGAAAGAACAGGTTAGGGACAGGTTGTCATGGAGAACATTTATCTATGTGGTTGCTAGGAGTCAAAAACAACTTGATGACACATCATCCATCCATCCATCCATCCATCGACTTAGCTGGATTTCCTGCTAAGGAGAAAGAAAATGGTCTACTTCTATCTTCTCCAGAACTATATGTTTCCAAATTCAGAACTATGTCCTGCTAAGGCTGTCATAATTTCTTTGTTATACAGCAGTGTTGTCCAAACTTGGCCACTTTAAGATGAGTTAACTTCAACTCCCAGAATTCCCCAGCCAGCATGGCTGGCTGGGGAATTCTGGGAGTTGAAGT